GCATAAGTCATACCATTGATACTAATGACAACCTAATATCAGTTCTAGCGATAGCACAAATGCACACCACGAAAATTGCCATCAGGCATTCCAATGTAGTATGCATGCAATCAAGCAAAACACAATGCCAAAAAAAAAAAAAAAAAAAAAAAACATCTTTTAATTCAATCTCAGCATCCTAATTTTGTAAAAACATTTTTCACATAATCACTCTAAACAAACACAACTTTTCACCCTCAATGCACTTTATCACGAAAACCGATTATAATCGGCTGTCAGGAAAAAGGTACCACCAGTTATGTGAATTACCACTATCAAAGCTCTTAATGCAAGCAACCACCACATCCTTGACCTTGCATGTTTTGATTATCCCATCGCAGCTTTCCCTATCCGCATTCTGCGAATTGTTCACATTATTGTTCTTCTCCTTCTTCTCTATCTCCTTACTCTTTACCTTACCACCTTCAGGGGAGTCTTCCTTATTCTTTACCTTACCACCTTCAGGCGAGTCCTCCTTATTCTTTACCTTACCACCTTCAGGAGGTGCACTCGCCGAATTCGGTTCATCTTTCAACTGCTTTGAATTCGGATCTTGTTTCGGTGTCGTAGCAGGAACCGGGTTTGGATCCTCTTTGGATTCCTTGTCAGGCGTCGGATTTGGATCCTTCTTTTCTTTATTCGGATCCTTCCCTTCATCCGTTTTAGTATTATTATTCAAACCCCTTGGACCTGGATCCGCTTTCGGAGTCTTGGCGGGTGGCAGAGAGTCCGTTTTGTTCTTACTTGGATCATCATCCGCCTTAGGAACAGACCTATTGCCACCAGAACTTGAAACTGGAGGGGGAGGAGACGGAGGAGGCGGAGGAGGACTTGGCACCGGAGAATCCTTGCCCTAAAATTTATGAAAATAAATAAACCAAACCGATTTTTGACCTAAAAACAAGTAATTTAGACTCTAAGAGAGGGAAAAGAGAGTTACTGGTACTGTCGAACTGTCGTTTTGAGGCTCACCAATCAAAATTCTATGCTTGGAGAGCAAAGAAGCATTGGAAGCCTCCGCAACAATGAAGATAAATAAGAACACTGTCAGAAAACCATTTCTATCCATTGAATTGAGACTTCGACGCTCCTTTTCAGATCGGATTTAGGTTCTCCACGCCAAAACCCTAGCAATTAATCCCATTTTGTGAATAAAGTTGCAGCCTTTATACATTAAAATGAAATCTGCGCAATTGGGTCTTCAATGAGCTGGAAACGGAGAGATGGGTTAGAAGTTTCAAGTGAATTGGAATCGTGTAAGGATTGGGATTTGAGGGTTTAGGATTGAATTGAGTTAATCTAGGGTTTTAGATTGGAATCTGTGTTCTTCAGAGATTTGACGCTAGGCTGCTATAGAAGTCAGCTCTACAGAGAGTCCAGACATCAATCGGAAACACGTAGCCAGTTACTACTGACACGATCTTATTTTCCCAAATTAAAAATCATTAAATAAATAAATATAATTTTAAAAAACCTATCAAAACGGTGTGCATGGATGCATGGGCCGTCTTTGTATGGATATCATTTTGGGCCAAGTCCTAGTATTGAACTTTGGAGAAATGACGGCCTTCACCTGGAAAGCTGGTTTGTAAACTCTGTATATTGGAAACATCATTTTTTTGAAACTAAATTTATAATCACAAGGAGAGCCGCTCAGCCATGGTGTGTGGATGACTGTTAACCATCATGGATGTGAACTTCACAGTAATCATTGACGGCCGACAGTCACTCATGTGCACGTCGATGTTAACCCCCTAGCAAAAACTCTACTAAATTGTGAAGAAGGAAAGTTTTACTTACTGCCTAGGCATATTCCATGTGGCACAAGTCATCCAATTCACAAGGACTTTGTAACTTTGCAACATCATCCTGAAGGTACGAGGTGAGCCAACTAGCACTTCCTCCCAGAAGTATGATTTAGTACAATTCAAAGCAAATCTAGCCACATTGAAGATGTCTTTTACTAGTTAGAATATAATCTCTAGAATAACACAAATAAAGAAAAAAAGCAAATGCAGATGAATCTTAATTACTTTTGTGCTAATTAAGCCTTCAACACTGAAAAAGAGTACTGCTGATATAAATATGGAATAAAACATAATTCCTTTCATGCTAGAAAGAATAAAGTGCATCCGGAGTCCAGTTTGGCTGCTAAACTCACGGCTTTGGCTTAGGTATTCAATCGCAGTCTTCCTCATGCATGGTTTTAACTTTTTAGAGTTGCCTCTTATAATAGATTTAAATTTTAACATAATATTATATAATTTAACGGTATCTCGGTATCTCCTTTTCCAAAATTGAAAGAGATTTCAAGTTCGAACTAATTAACCTATCATAGCAAGTCTTTATTTGACCGTAGTGTAATACACAATTGTTTCGTCGATTAATGTGCTATATGATGATTGCAAAAACCAATATCTCCATTCATTACTATGAAACCTGTCGAGATTACATAGTCTTTTCAGTTTCCATGTTGGTGATATATATTCCTTGCTTGCTTAATTTGTTCATCATCCATCAGCTTGGCTTCTCAGTCTTAGCTCAAGCCACATTGAAAAAGGAAACATTCAACCCTTTAAGCCTCTGTTTGATATAAACATGTGAGGCAATGGCACAATGCAAATGGTGAAGACAAAGAAGGCAATGGGCCAAGCAGAAGTGAATAAGCAAGTGATCTTGAGGACCTTTGGGGATGACAAAAGCTCTCTGCTTGACCATTTTGAGAGGCTCTCTGTTGAGTTGCAGCTGAACCAAGCCATGCTGAGGCGGAGTCTCTCTGAGCCAACCCAAATTCGGTCCCAGCAACCTCTTTTAATCTGTCAGGCTCCATCAGAATCAGAACCACCACCACCACCACCACCTTTGGTTACCAAGAAAAGGCGTGGCTCAGGCTTCAGCAAGGTTCTGAAGAAGATGATCAAGCCCATTCTAAGCAGAATGAGTGCAAAAAAGAAGGAAATCCCAGATGCAAAAGACCCCAGGTTTTGGAAGACATTTAGTAGATCTATGCGCCTTTGAAGTTTGCACACCATTTGAGAAATAGCTAGCAATATTTATTTACTTTTGTTTCGTTCTATGTTTTTAATTCCTTTTGTAAGTGCTTGTATGCACATTTTACAGATCATGAATACACATAGACTACACCCTCCCTACAGAAAATGGACAGTGTCAATTCGCATTGAACACGAACACAATCCATTCTAACGACTTCCCCATTAGAGACTGGTGACAAATCCCAAAATGAAAATTTAAAAGCTGTAGGCTGATGTCGTTAAAGTGCCTGCCTTGCCCCCAACATACGACACTGTATTTGTTATCGTTTTACCCAAAATCTGATCAAAGATTTTTTTTTGCCTCTCTACCAAGCTGGATAGAACTCCACAGGTGATACATGGACCTCTCCCTGATGCCTTCTTCATATCCTACACCCTTCACACTTGTTCAGTCTCCCTCTCCATCTCCATCTCCATTATGTAGAACTCACAACAAAAGAACCCAACATGGTAAGCTACTTGTCTTTGCAGCACTTTCATGCTCTGCTACAAATCCCACTGGAACCACACCATTGAATGTTGTCAATCTTGCTGACAAAACCCACCAGTCATACCCAAAAGATTATGGCTTGCAGTCCAGTGTCGAAGAACCAAAGCTAGATTTTGATAGCATAGCTAGTAGATTGCAGGTGCAGAGATTTATTGATAGAATTAAAGCTTTGCCCTTTAGAGAGACGAGAGTAATTCTTGGTATCTTTGAACAACATGTTTGCTTTCAGACCGTATCTGAATTCAATGCTCTGCTCATGGCTTTAGTCATAACAAAAGAGCCTGACATTGCTTTGAGCCTGTTTAATGAAGTATCAGCTTACGGGTTAGTGCCAGATTCTTTGACATTTTCCATCATGATAAGGTGTTACTGCGAGAAAAATGATCTGGATGAAGCCATAAGGGTTTTAGTCCATATGGTTGAAAACGGGTTTTGCCCTAATGCTGCAACAATCACTGTTCTGATAAATTCATTGTGCAAAAGAGGTAGGTTGCAGAGAGCTTTGGAGGTTTTGGAGGTCATGGGTAGAATTGGGTGCAAGCCAACTGTTCAGATATACAATTGCTTGTTGAAGGGGTTGTGCTATGTTGGGAGGGTGGAGGATGCATATGAAATGTTGATGAGAATCAAGAAAGATGCCATAAAACCTGACATTTACACATTCACAGCTGTTATGGATGGTTTTTGTAAAGTGGGTCGCTCAGATGAGGCAATGGAATTGCTTGATGAAGCTGTGGAAATGGGGTTGACACCAGATGTGGTCACTTTCAACACTCTGTTTAATGGGTATTGCAAGGAAGGCAGGCCAATGGAGGGACTTAATGTGTTAAAGCAGATGAAAGAGAGAAACTGCAACCCTGATTGTATTACTTACAGCACTTTGTTGCATGGATTGTTAAAATGGGGTAAAACTCGTAATGCTCTTAGGGTTTATAAGGAGATGGTTGAAAATGGGTTTGAAGTAGATGGGAGATTGATGAACAATCTTGTTAGAGGGTTATGTAGGAGATCGAGGAAGGAAAAAGACCTCTTGGAAGATGCACATGAAGTGTTTGAGAAAATGCAGAATGGGGTTTTGGGCATAGACGCTAGTACATTTGGCTTGATGATCCAAACTCATTGCATGGAAAAGAAGATGGATGCAGCTGTGGTCTGTTTGCAGGAGATGATTGGAATGGGCTATTCACCGTGGATTATCACCTTTAACAATGTAATTAAAACCCTTTGTGTTGAGGGAAAGGTGACTGAGGCACTGTTAGTATTGAGCATCATGTATGAAGGTGGTAGAGGAACCAATGGAATATCTTATAACCCTTTGATTCATGGATTGAATCGGCGGGGGAGTTTCCTTGGAGCTTGTAGTGTATATGGCGCAGCATTGAAGAGAGGTGTAATTCCTAATACAAAACCTCAACAATGAAAAAAAAATTGCTCATCCTCTGCCTTCATATAAGCTATTTTCATTTTTCAAATAAGCCAATCACTTACAGCAGGAGTTTAAAGGTTTACAAACCTTCCACTAACTTGATGTACAGATATAACATATTTATGCTCTAGCATCAAATTTAATAAAGTTTCTGCCTGGTAAACAAAAATACAATACAAAATTTTATTGGCCGGTGTTGAGAAATCTCTGAGTCAAAACTTATGCGCGATTCATGTATTGCCCAGTTCTGGTATCCACCATAATTTCATCACCTATATTTACAAAGAGTGGGACATTGACAATAGCACCAGTGTCGAGAGTCGCTGGCTTTGATCCACCTGCGAGCAAAGTTCAGTTAGAAGATGCTGCCTCTTTGATTGTTGATAACAAGGAACTGCGACGTTTAGTTATAGACAGGAGTTTATCACTTCTAAAACCCAAGAAATCAATCAGGCGCCCATTCTGCACCGGAGAGCTGATTAATCAGCTCATCTACTCAGCCTAACCTTGTAATAGCATTTTTGTCTGCTGGCATCTTACCAGCCTTCAGGTCCCCAAACAAGTCATGGACTGATGGGTATTTACACCAATAACATACTAAATTTGGTCCTTGAAAATTGTGAGAGACACAAACTGCATTACCTTGAGCTGTGTCACCCTTAAGTCCAGGATCAACATCAACCACAGTCAGTTTCACCGTGATGGGGATGTCAACATCGATAAGCTACAAGAAAACCACAAAAAGCAGATTACTTTTCAAAAGGCCATAGTAATACTACAAACCACCACCATTATCTATGTTTTCTTTGTTGATGCCACTCACACAAACAAATATATGCATCTCACCATGAATCTAAGACGTACTAACATAAAAAGTCAATGACTATCAAAACATTGCTCGAGAGACTGCTCTGTGTTCTTTAGGTAGTGCCCAAGAGCTCCATCTGGGACAACTATTCTTGGATAAAAAGAACCATCTTGGGCACAATTGATCATGTGCATAATGAACTTTGCAGCAAAAAGTGGGAATTTAATTGCTTGAGAAAAAATGGATTGCTTAAAAGAGAATAAGAAAAGTACTCTATCATTCCAAAGAAGCAAATTGCAGTCCATTCCCTCTTTCAGCCATTTTGTTTTGTCCCCGATACTTGATTCATTTACACGTGTTTCTTCATAGGTAGTCTGAGACAAGAGAAAGAAAAAACCTATTTGAGATAGAAAAATAAAGATAGCGATCACTATCTTATAAAGATAACAGCATCAGCTAGCTTCCCTGAGAACAGGAATAGATCCCAGGTGTCCTAAAGACTAAAATGAATAACTTATAGTCCATAACTTCATACGAATGAATATCATATTTTAATTTTGCAAGTAAAAACTCTACTGAAGAATACCAAGTCCATGAAGACAAACTGGGGACCGTCTTTGTATGTGAATTGCTTTGTTTCCTTGTATATATTTGCCTCATTAATCTGGAAAAACAATCAAATGTGAGAATGTATATATGTCACTGTACTGTACAGACATCTAAACATGACTGACCATTGCACTTGGTATCTGTTGATGATATCTACTGTTGAAAAATTTGTGTCATGTAACATGAATATACATAACATATCTGGTCTCATAGAAAGATTCGCCGAGAGACGATGACCTCAGCCTGGGGAGGAGGTCTGGTGGCATTATGAACATAATACTTACAACATAACATTTTGAAGCATACCTTGGATACAAGATATTTGTATAAATATATGACTCATTCCTTAACAAGGTTTGTGAAAAATAATCCAGATGGAGTATCTTTTCTTAGAAACACAGTAAACCATCAAAAACTAAATAAATTATGTCATATGCTACATATTCAGTTGACTTGTTTACTTGTTAGCAACTAACAATTGCATTAAACTTTATATACATTTGAAAACAGAAATTAATGATGGATCAATGAAATCAATGAACATTACCGTGCTGCCCGCTCGAAATGTTTTCTCAACAGTATTTCCTGATATATAATTGCGCATCTTGGTCCTTACAAATGCAGCCCCTTTCCCAGGTTTCACATGAAGAAATTCTACAGAAGGCCAACAGATAGAAAACTAATAAGCTTCCATTGACTTATGACTTATACAAACAAAATAGTTGTTTGCCTGACCAAATGAAAAGATTCCTCCTGGGAATATTAGAACATATGAAAACAAGACAATTCAGATATAGAGGCAGATTACAATGGGGTACACCTATAACCAACTTAAACATCCCTAGAAACTCTTTGACATACCAAAAGTCTCAAATTAGCATCATAGTGTTCATAAGGCTTTTGATTTTTTCTAATTACACACACACATCATGATACCATGAAATTCCAAATCTCCCATGGAAGCCTCATAAACCGACTTAAAGATACAGGCTCCCTAGAGTACATCTATCGCAAGATTACCAGCAAAGAAACACAAATGTCATGTGAGTAATACTAAAAATAGTAGTTATAAAAAGAATAAAAATTATAGCTTCAGCAATTAGATATAATATGATACAGAGACAGGGGTCCCAGAAATGAAGATTTCTATTTAATGTGAACAATATACCAGAAAAACTCAATATGCAATATACCCAATAACCAAAAAGTATTAACACCTTTCGGCTTAAACTAAAACGAATACAAAAAACAAATGAGGAGGAAGAAGAAGATATAGGTACCTATAACTCGCCAAGGAGCTCCATCAACTTCAATGTTGGAACCCACTTTGATATCGTTGCTAGAAAACGCCATTATCCCTGAAATTTTCACAACCCAACATCACTTCACTAACCCAAAAACCAAAACTTTACGAATTAAAATCAGTAAAAGAAGAAAAATCAAAGAGTGAGAGAGTCAAAGGAGCTTACTGGGACATCTGAGACGTAGGGGCATTCGGGCAGAACTCCGCATTGGCAGAAAGAACGGCTTGGATGAGAATGAAAGTGATGATAGCTGTGATGGACGGCTGAGGATGGAGGAAGGTGATGAGACATTGAAGGATGTTGCCATTCCCGCCATGGCTATGGCTGTTTTGAGAAAGCAAAGGTGTCTCAGTATTCGTGTGTGTTTTCCCGGAAATTTAGAGGGCCATGACAATGCGCCTGCGGTTTTTGCTTAGATAAGGACTATGGTGTCTGAGAGTCTTTTGCCTCGCTCCTTGTGTTGGGCTTGGGCCTCACTTTCCCTCTCTTCGCTCGTTTTCCTTGATCCATTATATGCTTTGGGCCTCGGTCTTTAGGTCTTGAAACTCTCAAATACTTTTATTTTAGGGATTCGCTTTCCTATTTAAAGAGTCAATAATATATTAAATTCTCACGTATAATATGGATGCTAAGACTCGAACTTAGAACTTTGCATGGGAGAGTAATCACTCCAAACCACTATACTAGTTAATCTTATAAATTGGATAAACAAGAACTTATGATATTTATCTCTTTTTTCACGAGATAATTTGCATGTAGTGGGTATATATACTTTATTTTATATCTCTCTTCTTATGTGACCGACTATAACATGAGAACCATGAGAAGAGAGATACATAGAAAGATATATATGATGTAGGTAAAAAATTTAGATCTTTTTAACATTCCTCACTGACTTGGCTTTCTGAAGTAGTTTTCCTAATTTTTCTAGGTAACGGATATGCATGTGTGATTGTAATTCTCATGGACTATCAACTGACAATCATCATCACAATTTAACTTTATTGTCTTAAACTGAAAAAAAAAAAAAAAAAAACGTATGCCTTTTGAATTGTTGTATTATTCAGTTTCAAAATATATAGCTGCAGTGGTAAGTAACTGTACTTGACAATTCTCTATAGAGAAAGATAACCACCAATTAATATTAATTATTATTTTTTATTAGTATCATATTTATTTATAGTTTTGGCTTATAATGCATTCCCAACTGATAGTCACTTTGTGCCCCATAGCCATCCTTTCGTAGAAAAAGAAAATCTCATCAACCAATGCATATTAATGGTGGTGGTTGTTGATTAGTCTCGTATTCTTTTCTAATGATGCAATTACGTGTTAATAATTCATGGTATTAATCATAACATATAAGATTAATTAGTCCAACTCCTATACACCGTCCCACTCTTTTGTCTTTTTATAAGTCCAAACCAATGTGACATCCCCAACACGTGCAGCAGCAAAGCAAGCCAACCTGCCATGTCTTCCGTTTCACAATTCCGTGGGCTCCACCCTTCTGTCTTCAGCCAGCGCGTGCGTTGCCCTTTCTCTTTCACCCCTCGGTAGGTGCCCACATTGCCAGGCCACCTAACATCACCACCCACTATTATGACGTCATAAATCCAAAAACAATCCGACGGCTTCGATTCGTTCGATCATTTCCATCGTGCAACTCCAAGCGCTTTAACGGTGCGGAGACTCCGTGAAGACCAAAGATCCGCAAGCCTCCAAAGCACACGACCTCAGCTTCCCGGTAGAACCGTAAATAAGTAGGGCGAGAGTGAGCTTTCCGTAAATTCGCCTGACTGATTCTTTACTGCATGCGAAATAGGCGATTGGACAGAACAGCTCCGTAGTGGCGCATTTACGGTGCTATCCTGCCGCCGTCTATTTCAAAGGTATTTTAATTTTCTCCGAAGTCTTTTATTTATTTTTCTTCTATTTCAGCTCTCTCACAGAGTAAAGTTGTTTGATTTTTTTTCCTTCTACGAAATTTAAATTCGTAAATATATTTTGATACAAATGATAAGTTAAATAGCCTAAATTAATATAATTGAAGAAAAATAGTAATCAAACTTAATGCAAAAGGACAGACTCACTGTCCGACTAACCCGACCTAAACCACGTTAGTAATTCGGACGTATATATATTTTTGTTTTTTCTTTAATTTGAAGAAAAGAATTAGTAAGCAAAAGAGAGGTGGGCGAGTTGGCCGAGTCTTGAAGCATCATCCATCGTGCATGCATTTTGTGCATTTTCTTTCAATTTTCAACTTTGCATGCACACGTCTCCTCCTCCCGAAATTAACAACAACCGCCGATCCAGCTCTCAGCTCGCCGAAATTGGACTTCAAGCATTTCATCGCCTCGTTTCTCACGAAATCGGTGTTCAATCGCTCTCTGATTGATAAGTCAGAGTGGTAGCAGACTGGCCGCCCTTTCGTTTTACTCGTGTTTGCTCGAATGAACTAGTTCTGGTTCTGGTTTCGGTGTAAGCTGTGAGCTTGAGGTTTCTTTCCTTCTCTTTTATGTCTCTCTGTTCGTAGTGTTGCTGATTTGGACCTTTTAGTTGGTCAATTTTGTGTTTTTTGGCTTTCTCCAAAATTATGAGGATTAGATTGGGGATTTATGTGGATTAGTTTCCGATTGGATTGAAATTTGTTGAAATTTACAGAATTTGTGTGCGAAAATGGAGCCGCGCACTTGCACGAACGCAGCTTGCGGGACCTCGAGCTCGATCGAGTGGAAGAAAGGTTGGGCCTTGCGATCTGGAGGATTCGCCAATCTCTGTCTCAAGTGCTGGTAATTAATTCACTAACTTGTTTATTAGTTGGCTTTAGCACATAATGTTTATGTAATTCTTTGGCTCTGGATTTGGTTGAGTTTTCTGTTTTTAAATTCATCGGCGTATTGGATGTTTCAATGGATAGTCTTCTATTTTGACGTTCTGCTCTAGTTTTGACGGCTACATGCTAATTTTGGCCGTTGCATGGAATTTTTTTTCTTTCAATTTTTCCTCTTTTTTTTTTCCCCCCCGATTTTACTTTGTTTATTTTGGCATTTTATTTGTTGATTTTTCTATTCTATCTCCTACATCCGTATTGTTTCGAACTAATTGTATTAGTCATTTGAAAAATGGAATATAACACTTCATATACAACTCAATCTTATTATAAAAGTGGTAATTAAAATTTCGCATTACCACTGTATTAAATAGAGCTAACCATTACAAAAGCGACTAAAGAGTTTTGGGGGAAGTTATGGCTAGAACTGTATATGTTGTGTTGAGATTATTCCAAGCATTTGAAGCATTTCATTGCATCCACGCATGAGGTTGTGGGATCTTGGCCAATAGAAAGAGAAAATCTAGATTTTTATGGGTGCGGATCACTTATTGGTGTTGTTTATTAGTAGCTGCAAATATTCTATGTGTAAATTTGAAATGGCTTCATGATATGAAATACTTATGACTTGTATTGTAATATGAAATTTGAATTGACTCTAGGTCTGCATATGAGCAATCAATTTTTTGTGATATTTTCCACTCAAAAGAATCTGGTTGGAGGGAGTGCATACTATGTGGCAAGGTGAGCATATCTAACAAAGAAAGGATTTTGTGTTTGGTTTCCAGACCTCTCCTCCCCTTACTTTGGCTCTTCCACTCCAATCATTTGCACCTAATAGAATTTGTTCTCTGCAGCGTCTCCATTGTGGATGCATTGCTTCAATGTTTCTGCTTGATCTTCTTGATGGTGGTGGTGTGAAGTGTATAAAATGTGCAAAAAGTTCAGAACCTCAACCTGTAAGATCAGTTTGTTTTGGTAAATTTTGTAAATTTATAATGATTATTAAGGCATGGCTGTCCTAACCTAAAAAAGATGGTAGATGTTGTTCATACATCTTTCTTGCTAGAAGGAGTAATATAGAAAGCATTAAAGAACTAGTACCATGGTCTGAATTTGGTCAATATCACCAATTTCTTGTGATGTTCACTATCATCACATTACTGTTGGTTATTTCTTGCATTTAAGACTATAGTGGAATCATAAGCATACTGAAGTGTACTCTTATAGTTTAGTTATTTATGATGATTTTGAAACTTATTCACACAGATTTTAAGTGATGAAAAGCCTGATGGACTTGGAATATCGAAAATCAGCGAGCTGCAACCAACTGCTCAAGACAATCAATTGGATGGAACTAATGTTGAAAATTTGAAGCTTATTCAGTTGGGAAATAATAAAGATTGTAATGGGTTTAGGAACTTGCTTCAGCTTCAGAACAATGACGCAAATGGATTATTGCAGAAAATGAAACATAACGATACTCCGCCTCCTGTAGGGGAAATTGGAGGCACATGTTTATCAAACTTTAATCTGGCATCCAATGGATCATCTGAAGCTCCCAAAGCAGAAGTTTTCAAAGCAAACTTAGGGATAAATGATATATATGACTCACTTCCGCGGACAAATTTGAGTATGTCCCTTGGTGCACCTTTGGGAAAAGCAAATCCTGTTCCTGCTGCCATGTTTGATGAAAGGGAACACAGTAAGACATCCTCTCCGCTCTTACCAGGAGCTAGGTCTCGCAATCTTTTTCCAAAGCCCCCAAAATTGGCCCTTGGTGCAGGTTTGGAGGAAAATTCTACAATTGCTTCACACGCACGTGTTGCAAGGCCACCTGCCGAAGGACGGGGGCGGAATCAGCTTCTTCCCCGCTATTGGCCCAGGATTACAGACCAGGAATTACAGCAAATATCTGGAGAGTATCCATGAAATTGTTTTGTTCTCATGTTAATTACTTCTTGACCGAACTATACATCAACTGTTTGGAGATTCTTATTTTTAGTAATTATCCATTACCTCAAACAATGATTTCCTTAACTTTGATGTCTTCAAGTTCAAATTCCACAATTGTACCTTTGTTTGAGAAGATGCTAAGTGCCAGTGACGCTGGTCGAATTGGTCGTTTGGTACTCCCTAAAGCATGTGCTGAAGTAAGTTTTTTATTTTTTCTATTCTTCAGTTTATTAAACTCGACATTTCACTGATATTTGCGGTAATCTCCATCATCTTGATTGTATTCATTACTATATTTTTCTTTAAAAGACTTTGTTTCAATCAAATCTGAACCACCGTGCAGGCATATTTTCCTCCCATTTCTCAACCCGAGGGGCTTCCTTTACGGATTCAAGACGTGAAGGGAAAAGAATGGGTGTTTCAGTTCAGATTTTGGCCTAATAATAACAGTAGGATGTATGTTTTGGAGGGTGTAACCCCTTGCATACAGTCCATGCAGTTGCAGGCTGGAGATACTGGTACTTCTTAGCGACTATATTTATTAAGTCATTATTTAGCATATCTGTGTGTGTGTGTGTGTGCGCGCGCGCACATTCCTGGTTTGTTTTTCCAGTCCACTG